AGTAAGACTGAAGGTGGTCCAATTGCTAGCTCTAGCTACACTTATTATTGTGGAGATTGAAATCATGAAACCCTGCGAAAGTTCTCTATCTCATCTCATTTCCATTCAACATTCATTGCTTTAATAATGTTTACTTCAGAACCATATAGTAGTGGTCCTTAACCTAGACTACAAAGTAACTAGCTGTATTTCTTGTCATGATCAATATAGGGTTTTTAGCTGAAAACCTGATACCTCTGTAAGTTTTAAGTTTTTTTACTAGAAATATACTTGCATGGTGAAAATGATCGTTCTATGCATCATTTTTTAATAGTAACACTAGGAATTCCAGGACAATGACAGCTTTTTTCTCCTATAAAAGCGATAGGTCTCGCAAAAAGTTTTATAAATTTTAGTAGTAAGCTAGCTTTGGTTCGTACCTGTTTTTTTCTTTTAATTAATAATTTGGGAGTTGGGGTGGGGGGTGGGGGTGTGGGTAGGCTAATCATTAGGTAGTTGTCTTTTACTTCCTCTATTCACTTTTATCTTTTTTAGATATGTTTCGCTTGCTTTTCGTGAGTCAAACTACGTAAACTTTTACCAACATTTTAACATGTATTTTTTTACCATATTGATATGAGAAAAATTATAACTTATAATACTTTTCGTATAGTTTACGAATATGTAAATTTTAATTTTAAAATATTAAGAAAATCCAATGCGATTTAGCTTCAAAAATTAATCAGATTGACTCTAAAAAGCGAAACGTTATAAGTAAAAGTGAACGGTGGGAGTAGCTTGTACAAGGACTCCACAGAAAAATTTACAAAGAATTTAAGCTAAATTTCATCATTATCTTTTGAATTTGTTGCGCACATTCTTTCATGTATTCATTTCCCAAACAGGCCAAGACTCTAGGCAATAACAAAATAAAGAAGGTAAAACCCAAATTGTTGGAAAATAAGGGTTAAAATTAATAGAAATGTAAAACTATCTAAAGTAAGATAGACCACCTTACCTAACAATTTCAGTAGCTTGTCTTTAGAGATGAAACTCAAAAATTAAGAACTAAAATCAAAATGTGATTTTCTCGTAACCACCACACATTCAAAAGGAGGAAAAAATTAAAGTGGGTTTATTTATGATTGCCTAAGATTGGGTTCAAACTTAAAAAGCCCAAACACCAACTTGTGTCATATGATCCAAAGCTTCTTCAGCCTTTCCCTCATAGTGGGGCCCATGAAAACAGTCCATTTTTTGGCTCTTGTATTCAATCATAATAGGGGCCCACCTTTGCCTAACTTTCAAGAGTAGCCTTCATTTAATTTTTACTTATTTGAAGACAATATTTTAATATCCTATACAATTTGTACGAACTAGGGTTATGGACTTATGGTCACTGTCTTCAGCAATTCATATTGTAATTAATTGGTAGTGGGAATAGGAAATTAACAGTGAGAAAGACAAACAAACAATTCTGAGGGGTCACTCTTTCATGACATATCCTAATTACTCCAAAAATATATTACCTGTCAGTTGCAGGAGGCAATAACGAGAATAGAAGTACTCCCTCTTCCATTTCATAAACACACTTCTTTGTTAATAGTACTCCTTCAGTCTCATATTAACAGCCGTGGTTACTAAAAATAGTTGTCTCAATATATTTATAATTTTAGAAGTTCAAGATAAAATTGATTACTTTTTTCCTTTTTTACCCATAGTAATAATAGATATATGGAGATAACACATAAATAGAATAAATATTAATGAAGAAAGATTATATCTCAAGACATAAATAAGGGTAGAATAGTCAAATCATTTTCCTAGTTAATATTTCTTAAGGGGCATGTAAAAGAGAAATACGATACATAATATGTGACGTAGGGAGTAGTATTAAAAAATAAAATCCTTTTATCTGTTAAATTTATTAGCTTAATTTTTTTCGTTTATGATTATTGATATATTATCGTTATAGAAATGTCATGATATGTTTATGATTACTGACTCTAAATAATTTTTTTTATTATATGCCAAAAGTATTTCCTAAACTCCGTGTCAAATCAAATAAAGCCTTGTAAAATGAAGGGAGAGTACTGAATTTCACGAAGGGTATTTTATATTTTGGTGGTCAATATAATCAATGCACCTAGCTATAGGATAAAATTTTCCATTTGGACTTGTTAACATCCAGACGACATCCGCACTACAATTATAGGGGACAAATTCAAGTACGTGAATGCATGAAACTTAGTGGAGTAAAATTTATATCCTAAAAGATTTTACAGAGTTTTGTGAAACCAATTAATTATCTGGAGACTGGACTAACAAAGAATTCAGATCTGATAGACTGAGCTGTGATGTAGCTAGTTGAGAAATCATCATTTCTCTTCCTGTTACCAAACCCGTGCAATAAATATAGGGAAGTATAGATGCCATTGCATCTTATTACTTGAAAATGACATTTCTTGATTTGCCCAGTAGATGGGGACACTAGCTCTAACCATAAACAAACAAAGGTGGCAAAAAATCCTCTCTTCTTTTAAGGGGAAAAGAGAAATTTCCCAAGCATTTTGAGTGTTACTATTTCAACAAATGACTGTGACATATCACCTTATTGTAAAGGCAGAATTGCTCTGCAAAATTTTTTTTTTAAAAAAGTAAATAAATAATAATGGTGAAATATAAGAAAATGAAAAGAAGAAATACAAAAGAAAGAGATGAAGTTAGGTGAAGGGTGATTGTAGCTTCATATCTAATTTCTTTGAATTTGAAGAAAAGGTCGAGAAGGTAAGTTGGACAAAATAGGCAACATAACTAACTCAACAGGAACCATATAGCCAAAAAGAAGTCTGAGAAAAGCAGATAGCGAGTGTTGCAGTTGTAGTTGTTTCCCTTCATTTTCCTTACCAAACATTGTTGGAAAAAGTAAAACATATATGAATTGCTATAATACTGTTTGCGCCGAGGAAAATGCCTAGTGATAACTCTAAAATATGAGAGATTGCAATTGCGTCTAATTAATCAGATGAACTGTAGCTTTCTATCACCATACTGTGTAAAAAATTTAGGAATCTTTTGCATGAGAATTTTTCTACCTTATGATTATTGTATTATATAAAAGTTTCCTCACTTGTCCGTTTTTACCTTTTTGTAGGTCCGAACATTAGGTTTGGGGGGGGGGGGGGGGGTAAGGGGATACTTTGATTGACATGTTCCCTCCCCGGTCCCTTCACCCCAACCACCAAAAGAAAATTAAAAAACCTTCTTGGGCTAGGTGCTAAGCATGAAAATTTTCGATTAGTGAATGTGTTTAGAGTTTTATACGGTAAATCAGAGACTTATTATGTTTATAATATAAAAAAAAGGTGATGATTAATTAATTGAGAAATATACATGGCTAAGCAATTTTTGAGAAATATTTAAAAGAATATTAGCAATCTCTAATTATTACATAAATGGAAGATTTTTTTACATTTGGAGCATATCTTAATATAACCAAATAATTAATGACCAACCCAAAAGGCACAAATCATGGGATCTTTGGAATGTTCACACTCTCTCTCATCGTGTGAAAGAGATCACATATCCTTTCTCTTCTATTATCTCATTCTCTCATCTAATTTTCTACAATCTCTCAATCTATTTCTCTAATCTTATTTTCTCCAATCTATCACAGTATGCAATCAATTAGGCATGCATATTTCTCTCAATCGTTCCATAAAATTAAAAGTGCTGGATTTTCGGAATTCACCGAATTATTCAAAAAAAAAATCACGGAGATATTGCTGAATCATTCCGAAAATTCACAAAGATTTAGCTCCACTCTTCTTATCCTTGCGATCAATTGTTTGGGAATTAACCACAGCATACGCGAGTGGGAATATTTTACCTTATTGAACATCACAAAAATTAACTTTGTTTAAAACTAAAATTATACAACATATAAAATACGATAAAGCAGATTTGTTGTAAAGGTATGACGATATGATACATTATACATGATATATAATAAAAAGATACATGTTATACTAAATGTAGAGCTGCTATAGCATCAAAATAGTCGGATATTTTATACATGTTATATATGAAATGTAATTATCAGAATAGTATTTGCATTAGTAATTGCAAATATACTTTAACGATGTCTTTTTACTTGTGTTATCAGCTTTTGATCCTTTATGAAATAAAGATTTATACTGTGCTAGTGCTACAGCAAGTTCCCAACCAGAAGATAAATCACTTATAAAATGTATATATTATACCCTCACTAAGGATTATTTTATTGTGGTATAACTTTTTCAAATATTACAGATATACGGATAAAGTGATTTATAATTATGTATGATTTATAATTAGTTGCTGCTCGTATGTTTAAGTAATACAATAGGGCATATGGAATTCTATGGAATGCAGCAGTTACAAATAATAAGATTTGCTGACAATAATGACTAATTGTCTTAATTAAGTAGTAGTAGGTAACTGAAATGCGTGATTGAAGTTACCATGTTTAAATGATTTTGGCTAAGAATATAAATATTTGCTTGCCTAATGTGTAAATGACCTAATACTGCTATATGTGCGGAAATTTTCTTACAAATCTGCCTAGTTATGTTTTTTGCTCAATCATATTACATTGAACATGTACAAATTCTTTATATAGTGAAGGTATGAAACTTAAATTCTAAATAGACATATATAGAATGGTGCAAAGAATAAATGAATTTTCAGTTTGCAAAATGCTAACCAGTAAGTGCTAACCTTAATGAATTATTGAAGTACTTTGTAAGCGAATTAATGACAAAAGTTGATTCAAATCCTGATTAAAATTTATTTTATATAAAGAAAGTAGGGATTGCTTTTTGTTTGATATGCACTTTTTAAAGACTAAACAATGAAGGAAAGGTTGACCGAAACAAGAGCGGGAAGCCTTTTAAGACAAAAAGAAAAAGATAAACTTGTACATTGTGAATTTTGTATGCTTCTATGAACATTCCAATTACCCGATAAATAACCAAAAAGCATATGAAAAATACTGTCTCATTGGTCCTTTTATTGTCCAAAATCAGCTTTCATACATCCTGAAAGGATAATGTGGGTACAGAACACTCTAAGTACAAATATGCAAAAAGCTGGTGGGAAAAATAATGTACTACTACTACATACTACTATACAATTACAGTAAATCTCTCATAGCGCTTGCTAACATAAAGCAGCTTAATTATGACAACAGGCAAGGGCATAAATTATGAGGCAAGAAGCAAATTCGGTTTAATTACTATGGTATAAATTAAGGAAGGATAATTAACATCACCCTCAAATATTTAACCAAAGAAATGAGTATTCTCTGGTAAATTTCCTGCATGGCGTAACCCTAAGGTTAGTGACACATCACCAGCAGTGGTCCCAAATCTTATCATGGTGGATCCCACATCAGCGTTGGTGGTGGTCCCATAATCATCACCGGCGAAGTTGCCGCCGCGACGGCAAGCGGCGACGTCGGAGTCATGAATATTGGTCGGGAAAGTTGCTTGGTTTTCCGAGAAGGAAATATGGGAATTGATTGCTACGAGTGAAGGGTCGTTTTCAGGGGCATTGATTTCGGATCTTTTGCCTAATGTGGATGCTGCTGTTGCTGTTGTGGCAGTGGCAGCTGTTCCTGTCTCTGCTGCTGCTGCAGCTGCTTCTAGTGCTGTCGTAGTTGTGGTCATATTAGTAGAAGAAGAGTTACTCATATTAGGCGTTGGTGTTTGTGCATTATTGCCACTGTTTTGGTTTTGGCTATTCTCTCTTTCATCATCTTCATCCTCTTCTTCTTTGGCTTCTTGTTGATACATCTCTTCTACCATGGGTTTCCACAACCGCACCCTGGCATTTATGAACCAGTTTGATACCTGAAAAAAAGCACATTCATATACAAAAATAACCCCATCATTAACTTCCATTATGAAATATTTTATTACACTTTTTTCACCAGCTCATTTGTTACATTTCGGGAGATATTCCATTTAACTGAGAATTGTTAACAGAAAAAATTGGACAAACTCAAGGTTTGAAAGATATAATAAGATGTTACATCAGATAAGAGTTTAATTTCAACATACTGACCACGTGAAAGAACTTTTACAGTATCAGTCACCAGTGGCGGATCTAGAATTTTCGTTAAGGGGTGTCAAAATATATGAAAATATACATACCAGGAAATTAAGGAGAGTCAATACATAGTATATATACATATAATTTATTATTTTACCTACCTACACAGGGTGTTTTTCCCACAAAGGGGTGTCATTTGACACCCCTTCTTATAAGGTGGCTCCGCCACTGTCAGCCACTTAATAGATAATTACAGGTAACATTGCATGATTAATGATATTAGTTAAATTCTGAAATATAGTGCAGATAATTTGCTACAAAATGTGAATTCACACATGTAGTGTGAAATTCTCATATTCAATCAAAATATATAAGTTCAATCATTTTCAATAAAGAATTTAACTTTTATATAATAACCGTGTAAAAGAAGTTTACAATAACATACCATCTTTACTCGGTTCTAGTATACAGACAATACTAATATACCATATACGCGCCATAGAGTTGAATAAACAAAATTTTCAGGGAAGAATGAAGTGATGTGAAAGGAGTAAGGAGTAGATACTACTGTTGCTTCATCTTTCAGTGTAGAGAGTCAGCATGCATGACCATATTTAGTTTCTTGATATAAAATTTTTGTCGGAAAGGAAGAGAAATCCATGAGATCTCTACCTATCGTATTTAATTAATAGACGTGTGATTGGACATTCATGTGCTTTGCCTCTGCACTTACTATTCCAAGATTTTCTTTTTTAAATCTAGAATTTATGTCTTTGTGTAGAAAGAATCCCTAGGAAAAATAAAAGGCTCTTGCCATGCCCGAATTAGGTAAAAAAAGAAAGGTGGAGAACCAAAACCAAAAGCCATGCAATAACTACAAGTCCTAGTGTTATCGTTGGGAGTTTTCGAACAATTAGTGTGGGTTCAATCAACAGTTCCCTCCCTTTTGCAAAATCCCAAAGTTTTATAGAAAAATACATGCAACCCAAGCTATTAGTAACGTTTTTTTACCGAGTACAGCAGTAACTTTTAATATCCAAGCCGGTGGCAGTGTACAACACAAAGAACCTCATTACATTTACTAATACTACTATCTGTTTATCAATAATTAATTCGATGTTTACTTCAGTTAAATAAATTACTATATATTTATAACTTGTTTTTTGAAACAAAATAAATTATTAGAAAAATAGCTCAGGTCATATGTTGTAACATTTCCTTCATATTATAGGGATTAACATTAAGTACTTAAATTTCCCCGGATAAAAACAAAAATTGCTACTGTAAGGAACAGAATATTTAGAAATTAAATTCTAGATCCAGCAAATGCATAATAATATGAATAAGAAAACCTGAAAGAGAAAGAACAGACGATGAGCGAACCTGGTTCCTTGAGAGACCAGTCTGTCTTGCCAACAGATGCTTATCAGCATCGCTTGGATACCTGAGAAAAATGACCACAAGAAAAAAATAAAAACATCAGACTCATTACCAAAACCGTATAAGGAGATGACTAAACTTTCTTTATCCGTAGATGTGAATTGACACTTTCTTGCTTTCTTTTTCTCTGCATGGGCGTGACAATCCATGAAAAACAGCAATAGCAGCAGCAGTACCTCTCTGCCACTAGTAACAGAAGTAAAGGCAGAAGAAAAAAAAAATGCATGCACTCATCTTTTTCATAACATTCATTTTTAGATACATAGTTAGATTCAATTTTATTTCTTTTGTGTAGTAGCTCCCCAAGCTGCTTTTATCATCATTATTGTTACTATATGCATGTCAGCTTATTGAATAGGTTTTTTTCTTTTCCATGTTCAAAATCATGCCTATGTCAGCAGGAGACAGCACTAGCGCATTGGATCCAGGAGAAAGAGCTAAATTTACTTTATACATGAAAGGACACTGAATTCGGGTTCCTTTAAAATCAGACACTGCAAGGGAAAGAAAAAGAAAAAAGAAAAGCTATAAAGTGATGTTGGAAATGTGTCTTAGACTAATAAAAGTTGATTGATGGGTGTGAAGCTTCATTTTGTCTCTTCATAATTCCATAATAATGGGGTTTCGACTTTTGTTTATACAGTAAATGTAAGAAGATTCAGATTCCCATCGGTGTTAGGAGTTAAGACATGGGGATTGAAAAAAAAGGTTAGACTTTATTATGGTCAACAGAATTAAAGCTTGTATAGGAACACAATGCAGCGGATTAAAAAATATTAAAACTGTATTTTGACTAACTTATTGTAGCACATTACTTATTTCCTAAGTTACTAAATTTACTTTCAATTGACACTATCCTGATGTTATAAAAAAAGTTCTACACTATTTTTAAAAATAATAGTCCGTCTCAAGAATTTGTACACTATGAGGTCAACTAAAATTAAGATTAATAACCTGATAAGTAGGATATTTATTACTTGCAAAAATAAGTTAAAGTATACTGTATACTCATATATTATAGAAGATTTCCACACTTTTAATCGATGGATAGAGATTGAATCCAACTTTTAATATAGAATAGAGTAGAGAGAGACATACGGGTGGAGAAAATGCTCAAAAAGCCAAGCTCTTAAAATGTTGACAGAGCGTTCAGGTAAGCCTCTTTGAGGTCTCCAAGCTTCTTGTTCCATCATTCCCATTTGGTGAAATGCTCTTTGCTGCCTCAGACTTTGTTCAAGCATCTTAAGCCTTGGAGTTTCTCCTTTAGTCAATCCTGAAGTGCCGGCATCTTTATCTCCCAGCAGTTCACAACTGTGCTTCAATTGTGCTGTTATTGCATCCTTCAAACACCTGAAGTGTCTTGACATTGCCTTCTGTGCAAGTGCTGTGTAAGGAATTGCTGCACCGAAACCCATCACTAGATCAAACGAGTTTACCACCATTTGCATTTGTTCGCAGTAATGATTGTACCTCCTATCTACCTGCTTGCAAATAAAAAAGAAAAAAGAAAAAAATGATTATGATACAAAAAGAAGACTACTCTAATTTGTTTACAAAGTGGATATTAAGCGCTAAAAATATAAAAGGACCCCGGTGCACTAAGCTTTCGCTGTGCGCGGGGTCCGGGGAAGGGCCGGACTATAAGGTCTATGGTACGCAGATCTTACCCTGCATTTCTGCACGAAGTTGTTTCAAGAAATATAATGTAAGTAATTACTTCAAGAAATAAAGAGAAATTCAAGATCAACAATTCAAACAGTAAGAAGGATCAAATTCCAATTTCGAGTGACTTAAGCGTCTCAAATAATTTTCAATGTGGAGCATTAGATAAGAGCACTAAAAAAAGGAAAATTAACTAATAGGAGGGAAAAAAAAGGTAGAAAGCTGGGAAATAAACATTAGTACGCTGAAATGATTGTTGATGTGAACTGAAAATATCCTATTTGAGTTATTCCTGCTTTGTCTTGGGTTTCTATCAATTCAGCCAACACGTAAATATCAGTGTATTAGTATTTGCATAAGCAATTGAAGAAAATCAAAATTAAGGTCAGCTCAAACCAACCACTGATGGACTTTTAAGTGCATTCTAGTTTCGTCGCANGCAGGGTTTCCACGTATATGGGGTTGTTTTGGTGGGTGCCAGGGATTTGGGTGTAGTGGTGGTCATTGGTCGAGTTTTGAGGATCGGGAATAGGTTGTGGTATGTTCTAAAGAGTATGATAGGTAGTGGTTTGTGGGTACTTGGTTGGTTGATGATGGTGTTGTAGAGGAGTTGGTACCGGTAGAGGATTGGGATTTTGAGGCGGTGTGGCGTATTGATGGGATGCGGGAGGATTTTGTGGACGTTGGTTTGGTGTATTTTGAGGAGGTGCTGCATTTTGAGCATTTTGTTGGTTAAAGTCTGGGACATTTAGGGTGAGCGAGAGGTTTTCCAAATTGAGGAACTGCTCAAGTTCTCCTTGTAACTCCAGTATTTTCTGCTCTAATCGTAGGACGAGATCATTCTAGGCCGGAGTACTCCGACCGTCTGAAGTTTCAATATTCTCAGCATTTTCTTTTTGGATGCCACTCAAATCATCCATGTTAGCTTTCGCTCTGCTTTTCGGATTACTCGGAGGAGGAGGAGGTGGAGGGCCTCTAGATCTGGTGTGATATGCTGATGATGCCAGAATGTGCGAACCAACCTTAGGGGATGGGAGTAATAAAAATAAAGAAAAACAAAAGGTAAACAAGTCAGTAAGGATTCTAAAATGTTTTCAGTATTTAAGCACATATTGCGGGAATGTAAATCTGCGTCCTAATTTGGGAGCCTTGTTGTGCCCGAGGTAGGCCTAACGACACATGGATTTGGAGAATTTCAGTGCCAATAATTACCTCATTTCATTAATGTAAAAAATAGATGAATCTAAAACGACACTAAATAAGATAAGTTACTGATGGCACTTGGCCTTATTACATTTGAAAAAAGTAAATAAACCTAATCTACTTGGTCCCAGAAGGACCTTCTCCGGGCTTGATGTTTTTGGCTTCGTCGATCAAATTCCCAGTTCGTGCAGGTTCATCAATAGGTATGCCCTTACTAAATGTCCTCCTTCGCTTCCTTCGGCGTTCTAGAAATCAGTGACTATCTTCCTCATTTTTCCCTCCAATTCCATCAGATTGTACTCCAGATATTCCAACCTTTCGCTTGATCTAACATCCATCTCCTCCATTCATTAATTAGTTCCATACCGGTCTTGTGTCTCTCCAGATGCTCGGACTCGTGAACTCTTTTACGCAGTTATGGATTAATGTGACCCTTTGAATTATGAGATGTAACAATAGAAGGACGAGGTGGTGTACTTGTTATTCCCATGGCAGCGTTGTCTTCCTCTTCATCATCTCTTTTCTGCTCGGATCGAGTATAAAGATAGTTAAAACCGGTTTATAGTCATTAAAAGAAATCAAAAAAGAGATCATGGAATACATGAATTATTGTCAGGAGATGGAAAAGAGATAATAAGTGTGGCAAAGAGTAAGGGATGAGGGGAGAGAAAAAGACTTTTCTTTTTTTAATTTCCCTTAAAAATTTAGAAAAAAATAAAATAAAAGGCTTCAGCTTTATTCATGTAGAGGCACAAACCTCTTACGAACTTGCAGGTCGGAAAAGGGGTACAAAGGTTTCTCAGATATCGTTTTCTCTTCGTGGGATTTGAAAGCCAAAGTTGTATATCTCTCTCTCTCTCTCTCTCTCTCTCTCTCTTTCTCTGTCTCTGTTGTTTCTGAGGCTGTCGTTTCTCTATATACTGATATCTTTCTCTTTCTCTCTCTCTCCTTTTTTTTTTCTCTTTGTTGCTCCTCCTTTGCTTTGCAGTAAGTGCTGTATGTCTCTGCAATCGCCTTCTGGAAAGAGAATTGAACTATATAGCAGGAGAATATAAATATTAAAAATAAAGAAGATGGAGTTCTTTCATCAACTGTGACATGTATTGTGGTTTTATATGTGTATTGATTTATATGAAAATCACATATCTGTGTTTGTCTCTGTGTGAGTCTCTCTCTTTTTCATAGAAAGCAACACACCCTCGAGAGAGATAGAGATGAAACATATAAGGGGAGAAAATAGAGAAGAGGTCGCTGTTCTTCTTCTACATCTCTTTGTTTCACTCAACTNTGTATGTTCCCGTCCTGACTTCATCAATGACAGTAGGCTCAAGATCTACAAAAACAGCACGTGGAACATGCTTTCCAGCTCCAGTTTCACTGAAGAAGGTGTTGAATGCATCATCACCACCTCCAATAGTCTTGTCACCCGGCATCTGGCCATCGGGCTAGGGGAGAAGTGAAAGACAAGATTTTCAGTAATGCAGAATAAACAGGACTTCAAAACAAAAACTTGTACACAAGCGCTATAGAATGCAGAGAATTAAATTGAATCTACACAATACTTCAATATATGTTCCAACTGTCACTGAATCGTATATGATCGCAACCTAAATGATACATCGTACATTAACAGCAATTATACAGAAAATACATTTGAAATAAATGTAATAAAGGTCTTTAAACTTTGAAAAAACACATGTTACCCCCTAGCATTCGACAAGATTAAGGCATGGGTGGCTCAAGGGTGAGGCTAGTAAAGCCTTTGCTTTAGGCCCCAAAAATTTTGAGGCCCCAAAATGTGTTAATGGTAAAATACGTAATAATATTTTGACCTAGACAGTTTTGAACTTTGTAGAAATAAGTATAAAATCCGTGTAAAAAGGTTTTAAAAAAACAAAGAATATTACATCAAATCTTCGTATTAGTAAATAAAGTTTTTTACATCAAGATCCAAGGTAGTGTATTGCAAACATATGACTAACATCTTATTAACTTGAATTAACCCTCGATAATATAAATAATAATAATATTACTAAATAAAGCTAAAAGTCATATATCTTGTATGAATACTATTGTATAAATAAATACAGAAGGAAAAAAGATGACATCCAAGTTTTTGCATATGCGTATAAAATTTAGATTCTTATTAGAATTCGGCTTTAGGCTACTAAATTCGTAGAGCCGTCCTTGGATAAAGGATGATTTCACAAAAAGAAATTACGTAGTTCCTGCCCTTTTAAATACCAATCGATACATCAACCTATCTGTAACCAGCATATAGGACATTAAAGAAATAAGAAACTGTATTAGTTCTAAAATGTAAAGAAGTACGCATAGAGTTTGCAATTTCAAGTGGATCTATAAGAAAAAAAAAGGAATTTCATTCCGATATATTCAAAAGCAACTAGATTTATTGCCGCCAATTTTCAATTCCAATAGAATTAGGGAGATAACAATGCACATCTAGTGCTCCGTAAACACGTTACACGTATAGACATAACAATGCCATGCGCAAAAAATATACAAGTACTTATTATTCTAATATATTCAGGAACAAGCAGATCTACATAAAACAGCGTGATCAAATCGTGATAGCAGGTTATCAAACGCATAACAAACAATTACAAAAATCAATTTCGCAATGACAGATTTATCGACATTAATGTACCTATTTGAAGAAAGAAAAATAGCGATAAGACCGCAAAGGAAACCAAAATGCGCACACATAGGCGCACAATTTTTCTTCAACTAGATCTATAAGATGATATCATACTTTTCATGAATATCTTTTCTGAATCAACCTAGATCTATACAAAAAAACAGCGTCTTCAAATAGTTCTAACCGCCAGAATACGCATATTAAAAATAAAAAATAATACTCCCTCTGTTCCAGTTTATGTGAACCTATTTCATTTTTGGTCTGTTCCAAAAAGAATGACCCCTTTCTAAATTTGGTAACAATTTAGCTTAAACTTACAATTCTACCCTTAATGAGAAGCTTTTATAACCACACAAATACTCTGGCCCCTTTTTTGCTTGTTTAGGACCACAAATTCCAAAAGTCATTCATTTTTTCTTAAACTGCGTGCCCAGTCAAACAGGTTAATATATATAAAACAAAATTTCACAATGGATCTAAAATGTGCACACATGTATAAACAATTTTCAATTCATATGCTTAAATTCAAACAGATATATAAAAATACCTGAATGCCATGTTCTAGGCAGTAAAGTTCCCAGCATGCATTTCCGACCTGAATACCGGCCTGGCCAATGTGGATTGAAATGCACTCTCTCATTTTCACAATTGTTGTTTTTTCAAAAATTCAAAAAGAGAGTGTAGAAGGAGAATGGAACAGGAAACGGCGTTTATCAAGACGCCTTCCGAAAATTTTCAGATCTGGGTATCTGTTGAATTGAGGGCGGTTTATATAAGAATGCCAGAAATGGCTCTCCGAAAAAAAATCTAGGGAGTGGAGAAAAAGAAAAAATCTAGGGACCGGAGAAAAAGAAAAAAATCTGAGGTGTCAACCCCGCAAATTTCGCACCCTTATATAGTATAAGTAGAATAAGAAGCAGAGTAGACGTGATTATTATGTTTTGCAATAATTCTTTTTCTTTTTTCTTTTTCTAGTGCCACTCTTTTGGATAAGGGGTTAATTGGGCTGATCTTAATTACCTGTTTAAGTATTAGAGGAATTTTCAGAAACCACTATTGTTTGGTGATTATTAATTTCCTATAGTTACCGTATTCATAATTACTTCATATAGTTACTATTCAGTTGTTAGGGTAGTGTATTCGTTGTATTCACGTTGTTGTATTCATGAATACAACAGCAAAAAGCACCTAAAAATCAGGGTATTCCAGCTGTACGTGCATGTATTCACATGTATTCGCGCCATGTATTCATGAATACAGCAGCAAAAAGCGCCTAAAATCAGGGCAGTCCAGCTGTACGCACATGTATTCACATGTATTCGCGCTGCTATATTCATGAATACAGCAATAAAAAGCGCTTAAAATTAGGGTAGTCCAGTCGTATGCGCATGTATTCACATGTATATATTCGCGCCATGTATTCATAAATATAGTAACATCAATCACCTTAAAAATAGGTATGTCTAGCTGTCTAAGAGAAAGGAAAAACATAAATAGCGTATTTTATACCTTATTTCATGCCTCAATGGTAGTATGTACCATAAAATACTTAGTTTGCTATAAAATATAAAAGGTATCTGTAGAAAAATAATATTTTAAGATATTTTTGATTTATAATAAATAGCGTGTATACCTTTGCCATAGGAGGTAAAATTCTCTAATTATTATTAACCAATTGATAAATGCATGTAAGAGGAGAATATGACACCTTACCTCCTGTTCATCCTCTTGAGGAATGAATTTTTTTTTTCTTTTTTTTTTTTTTTTTTGCATTTGATCTTGATCTTTTCGAGATTAATGTTTATTTGGTGAATAATTTTGTTGTTGTATACTTCAATACCACACAAGAGGGGGGTGATTTGTGTGGTGACCAATTTTTCGCATAAACTAATTATGGAAGGACCTGGTTCTTCTATGTGTTCCTTAACCTACTATTGCATAAATAATAAATGTGGAAAGTAAAGAACACAAGTATTTTACGTGGAAAACACCTGGCTCAAAAGGTGAAAAAATCACGACCTACTTTCCAGTAGGATTTTCTCAAACTCTCCACTAAAATTACTGAGCCAAAAACTGCATTTACAAAAACTCTTTTGTAAACCTAGGACTAACTCTAATCCCGTTGTAGCACACAGCCTCTAACTGTTGCGACAACTTCAAGTTAACTCTAACTTGAAGACTCTGAGTACCTATTACAATTGCCTCTAGATAAAGCTGTAAGGTATAATATAAAACCAACTACTACAATTGAACTAGAATAAAAGACAGACACTTGGAACTGGTTCTTCTATCTAGTTCATGTAGCTGCAGGCTTGCACACTTAAATCACACACGAACTGCTTGCAAAATTGCCTTGCTATTTTGCTCTCAATTCACATTTAACTTCTACTTATGTGCGTTACCTGTAAAGGAGAACAACACCAATATTTATAGAGTTAGTAAATAGAGATTGACTAGAATTCTGATGTTACTCTTCCTTGGTGGAAGAGTTCTAGTTGATCTCAACCTCTATCTCCTTCCCTTTCTTAAACTGTGTTCTCTTTGAGTAAGGAGTCCTTCTCCTTATCAATTATGCAACCTTTTCGATCAGGATCAGGAGATATCAAATCTGTACAGTTAGGTTTATCTCCTTCACGTGCATCCCACATGCTCAAGTCTATCCACATCTGTGCTCCACTGGGATGGACCTGGTTAATGTCTGAGTTCCTTTGTCAGTCTTCAAAACTAACCTTTACTTGGGCCAATAAATTCCCCCTTTTTGATGATGATAAACTCTGTGTTTTTCATACACTTAGGCCCTGCTAGAACTCAACTCAACATCAATGCAATGTTAGAAACATTTTTCACTTATCATCAAGGACCAGTTTTATTAGGTTATAAACATCACTGTTCAGAATATAAAGCACAATTTCTTTTCCCCCTTTTGGCATCATCGAAAAGTTGCATAAAAAAATGTGTGATTCCCAGATTTTAAAAATTAATCATGGCCATAAGGGCAACCAGTGTTTTAAAAGGTGTGGGCCTAAGGCGAGGCGTTTTACATATGCCTCAGCGAGGCGTAAGCCCCATAGGTATTTAATTTGCTCAAGTAACTTGAGTCGAAAAGAATAAAGTTTTCTACATGAAGGAACAAAAAGGATGACTAACTTGCAATTTGAACTTTGAACTTGCTGCTATGTAGGAGAATGGAGTTCTCTTTGTATTTGTAAAAAAAAAATGAATTTTCGTTGCTATTGGGAGATATTAGCAAACTAGCGGACAAGATAAAGAATTGGAAAAGACCATGAATTGGGGCTTCAATCAATAAAAAAGGTCTTAACTTTTAAATTTAATGCATTTCAATTCCTTTTTAAAACTTTTGAGTAATTACCAAGTTCAATTTTGAGAATTTGGGTATTACATAAAGGACTTTTTTAACAAATTTTGTTTTAATTTGAAAATATCTTTGGGGATTACGCTTCACTAAAAAAATGCGCCCCGAACGCCCGGGCATACGGCCCGAACGCCCTGGCGTACGCCCCGAATTGCCGGGCGTACGCCTCTTGAGACTTTCGCCCCACACCATCGCCCCGGGGCGTTTTTGGTGCGCCTCGCCCCAGGGCTCGCCCCGAAAACGCCTTTTAAAACACTGAGGGCAACTGCAAATTCATTCATGGATTAATCATCAGTAATCAACTACACATCCAAACTATCAAGGAAATATTAATAGTCAATAAGAGCAAAAGCAGCAAACTTCATTGATAGAGAATATGATTCTGCCATAATCCATAAAAAGAAAAAAACAGTTAAAACATGAGGAACAAAAAGAAACAGCCCTAATCTGGGTCACTGAAAGGTCTAGGCATGGCTTAGGAAATTAAGTCTTGGAAGAACTAGGGGTTTGGGTTTTTGCTTGGAGAAGGTGCAGCATGTTTTGAAGAATTCCATCATTCTTCTCCTTTTCCTTTATGAGCTCAGTTCTCAGAGCATCTCTCTCAGATTCTACCTCAGCCAAACGAGTCTTCAACCTTGCTATCTTAGCATCCTTTGCCACACTCTCTTGCAATAGAGCTCTGACCTTGCTATTTACAGGTGTCTTTTTAAATGAACCAGGTTCATTGGGAATGGCATTGATCCCATAATCACAAGAAAGCAGAGTATTGATTCCAAAATGGTCTTTGCTTGTGGCCATCTCCCACCTTTTCAGAGGCACCATACAATGAGCAAGAACAATAGTGAGAATGAAACCATAAGGAGTGGCATGGGCCTTGGAGCCATTGATAACCCGATCTAGAAGCTTGATTATAAACCCAGGCCAGTTGATCTGCCGCCCACAATCCATACATTCCATCAAAACCAAGTCCATGTAGTTGGCAATGTGCCTTCTTTCCTGCCTAGGCAGCACACACTTGATGACGAATTCAAACAATACCTTGTGGGGAGGCTTCATTTCACTTTTATAAACAACCTTTGGGGCACTGACTTCCTTACTATCACAGAATTTCCTAGTAATGGCTAGGGCAGTAGGAAGGGAGTCCAGACATGGCCATTTTTGCCTTGTGTAATCATCATAACCTTCAGAGGGTATGCTAAGGATTTCACCCAGCTCTTTTGCATTAAAGGAAATTTAAACCCCCTTCACCAGGCTGGTGACCCTTCCATCCTTTAGCTCAGCATTTGCCATGAATGCAATAATCTCATTTATGTCCAGTCTGCCATCTAACGAAGGGCCATGTCCTTCTACCCCTGTACCTCTAGACTTTCAAGCAGTAGAACCATCCCTTCTTCCTCCAAGTCCTTCAAAAGTCTTCCCTTCAAGATAGTGCGTATCCTCCTCTTCACCACTCCAGTCTTCTTCTTCAGTAATTTTCACTTGTTTGGCTTTCACAACAGACCTTGTCCGTTTAGCCAAAGCAGAAGGTTCAGCAGACTTAGATACAGATGAAGATTTCTTTGAGGAAATCTTGGCTCTCTTGGGCTTACGGGTCTTAATCTCCGCTTCAACATTCACATGTTCACCTTGATGGACCGGGTCCATCTCATCCACATCAACATCCTCAACATGCTCTGCCACCTTTTCTTTCTCTTTGTCCATCATTTTCTTCTTACTTTCTTCTATAGCTCTCTGCAACTCCTCCTCACTTTGCTTCAGCTTGCTCCTTGTAGACATGTGATTTTTGACCCTCCCCAAGACTATTCATATTTTAACACGTAAATATTTAATTTAGGCCTAATATAGCTATTTTAGTTAATTTTGACTCTTTTACTTTATTTTATTACATGAAAATAAAAATTAAAAAAAAAGAGTAGTTGCATTAATGTTTTATAGTCATAAAATCTTGAAAAATACCAAAAATATTTTATTTTAACGGTCAATTTTATTTTTATGGTTATTTACTCAAATAGGATTAGTTAATAATTGGTGTAGTATTTTTGGTCTTGTGTTAGAAGAAAGAGTATTGAATTTGGGGCTAATTTTGTTTGGTCTTAATTGAAAATGCTCAATTTGGGATAGCCCAAACATTGAGCCCATACCCATTCTCCCCATTTGACCTAACCTAATTCCTACCCCTATAAATTAACACCACAAACACACCAAAAAAGACCATATACACAAAAAGATCCCAATCAGCCGCATAACAGACCTCTCCGCATCAATTCATTCTCTTGGTTACTCTCTGACATCCATCGTTCTTGACAAAAAAGAAGAGACCAAAACAATTTTTGCTCCATATCCAAAAATCAGCGAAAAACACAAAATGAGAAGCTGAACAAATATTTGAGAAATGGGAATTGAAAGGAGGAGTTTCGCCGAGTTTGGAATCTGTACAAGCAGAATCAACCAATTTATAATAAGGGTT